TCAAGGTTTAAAACCAGCCTGGGCAAAATTAGAATGAGACCTTATCTGAAAAACAAACTAAGCCAGGCTCTGTGGCTCATGTCTGTAATCCTAGCTACTCAGGAAGCACAGATTGGGAGGACCATGGTTCAAGGCCAGCCTGCCCAAAAAATCAGTGGGACCCCATCTCAACAACAACAAAAAAGCTGGGCATGGTGGCATGCACCCGTCATCCTAACTATGAGGGAAGCTAAATAGGAAGATTGTGGTACAGGCCAGCTCTGCCAAAAACTCCAGACCCTATGTCACAAACAACCAAAGCCAAAAGGGGCATGGCTCAAACCGTACAGTACCTATCTAGGAAGCATGGGCTCTGAGTTTAAACTGCAGTATTGCCAAAAGCAACTAAAAAAAAAGGCAAACAGCTGTGTAAGCTGACTTGTCCATGGCTGATGGGTTTAATTTCACTGAGTCTTGCTGACAATGACAAAAGGCATACTTGTGTTTTGTTTATGTTTGGGGTTAGTGTTTGGTAAAGGGAAATCACAAAGACTTCAGTTTTGGTTAGGAGGCCATGAGCTGTTGGCTTTGGGTATCTAAAAACGTTCAAACCACATGCCCGTTGAGGTTTGTAGATTGTCTGTGCTGTGTCTTGGCTGCTGTTCAATTCCTGCCTTTTCCAGGGTGAGTCCCGGTTGTCTGAGCTCAGCTTCAGACTCCAAGAGGTTCCTCCAGCATCTGTGGCCTAACCTTCTAGTGACAGGAAGCTGGGCCACCCCACTCATAGCCCAAGGTCCCTGTCAATGACAGGCTGATTATCAGGTTCCTTTCTCTAAAGGGATCACTTTCATGCACATAGTAGTGCAATTTGCATAATTAGGGAGAGTCATAAAGAGTATTCAATTGTCTAAGAATCTAAGTTATAAAACAGGTCAGATCTGAAAGGTGACTTAGTATCTAAACAATGTTCCAAGTAGTAATGGGAGGCTGAGTGGGGGCAATGCAGAGAAACCAGACAAGCCCTATTGTTTTTGTAGCACCAGAGTGAGCTTGAAGATGGGCAGCTTGCGACTCACTCCTTCAGGAATTCATCCCCGGGGTAGAGGGTGAGAGGGAGGCAGTTCAAAAGGGCAGCCAAAAAAAAAAAAGCCTCTGTGAGGCTTTGAGTTCAAAAGAGTAGTGGCAGTTTACTGTAAGTGCTCCACTCATTCTGATAAGAAAGATATACTTCAGCCGTACATGGTGGTGCACGCCTGTAAGCCCAGCACTTAGGAGCATGAGATAGGAAGATCACAGTAAGACTCTAAATCACCCCACTCCCCCCAAAATGTATGTATACTTTTGTTTAAACCTCTCAATTTTATACAGAAACGGACGCAATTTCAGTTGCATCTTTAAAAAAAAATTAACATCCTGATCATATGCAAAGTAAAGGAAAAATCTGCATTTCAAGTTGCATTCAGACAGTTCCTTCTGCAAGTCCATACTAAGCAGTATGAGAAAGTGGATGAGTGGCAGTGGTGTCAGCTCTAGCAGGTGCTGGGTGAGCCTGGGCTAGCTACCCCACTTGTTCTCATCCCTCCTCCCCTCACTCTAGGGCCTCTGAATGCACCGCCCCCCCCCCTCCAAGGAAATCTGTGTGGTTAGAACCCCCTCCCCCACATTCCACTCACCCGCTCTTTTTTCTGTGTTAGTAAAAGCACAGCAAAGCTGATGGTTCGCACTTATAATCCTAGCTACTCAGGAGGTAGAGATCAGGAGGATCAAGGTTCAAAGCCAGCCTTGGCAAATAGTTCAAGAGACTGTATCTTGAAAAAAACCCATCACGAAAAAGGGCTGTCGAAGTGGTTCAAGTGTTAAGAATGCCTGCCTAGCAAATGTGAGGCCCTGAGTTCAAACCCCAGTGTGTCAAAAAATAAAGGGCTCTACAAAGTAAAAGTCATACACATTCAAACATAGCTTGTAAAACTATATACATGAAGAATTAGAAAAAAACCTTTTCAGTACATAAAAAAATAGATACATAAGCAAGATAATATTGGGTAGTAGTAAGTGCTACTAAGATAAAAGCCAGGTGAGATGGTGGTAGTGGTGGGGAAGGGTGCTGCCTGGGCTTCTATTACCTGGGAATCAGGGAATGTCTGGCTTGATGCCTCAGTGGAGCTGACCAGGGACAGCTGTGGGGACACAACATGACCTGTGATAGACAAAGGGGCAAGAGAGCGTGATGGACAGTGGCCTCCAGAAGGGGCAGGGCCATGTCATAGAAGGATCCTCAAAGGCCTTTTCTGGCTTCAACATCCTCCAGTGCTAAGCCAAGACCCAAGAAGCCCTCTATGCAAATGTGACTCCTTCATTTGACAGTCTAGATTGTGTGGCTTTCAATTTTGAATTTTCATATTTTCACTTAAGTTCTTTAATCTTTGTGATCAGCGGGGGGAAAAAAGCTTCTGGCTTTATGGCCACACGTTTTCATACTGTACATTTCATTCCAATATAACGTTACACAGCCTGTTTGTTGTTAAGAAAATATTTCTAAGGGAAGATTGCAATAATTTACTGGAAAATACCTAAATTGACATTTAGCGTAGAAATGAAGCCAATAAGTGAGGAAATGAACATTTTTCTCGAGGTTTGTAGCGGTGCTGGTCTCAGGCCAGTGAGGAGTATCACAGAGAAAGACTAATTTTTCCTATTGATGTGTCTGTTGTTTTTAACCACTCCCGCTGTGATCCCCCAGGCAGCAAATGAAGCATTGTGAAGTCTTTTCTGGTCCTCTCAATGACCAATTACACATTTTTAAAGATAATACATTTTTATCCATAGTGTATCTGATTACAGTCATTTATGAAAAATGACTAAAAAGCAGTGAATCAAAACTTCTTTTCTGTCTGGTCATGTTAAGACAAACACCAGAACCATAATAGAGAATGGAGTTGAGCCTCACCTCTCTGCCAGCAAGCTTCGTGCGCTTGCACAAAAGATGTCACCGTTCCAAGCCTCTGTTTTCTCCTCTGGGGGGAGATCACAGAGTTCATGGGGTGGATAAGAGCACCCAAGATGCTTCGAAGGTTTTAGTAAGTTGCCAGCTCTTAGGCTAGGGTAGTGGACATCAGGCCTCAGTATCCACAGGGTGGAGGGATTGCAGGACCCTCCTCAGATACCAAATTCTGAGGATGGTAGAGTATTTGCGTATAACCAATACACATCTTCCTAGAACATCTTTCAGTTGTTCACACATTTCATCCATCGGTGATATGTATGATGTAGTTCACAGCAAGCTTCTAATGAAAGCCTGTTGACATACCAGGCAAAAAGTAAATGTAGAATGAGTTTGCCTTTTAGCAAACAGAATAGACCTAGATAAAAGACAAAATAAATAAATCATCTCTAGATTATTTATAATACCTAATACAGTGTAAGTAGTTATGAGACTATATTGCTTAGAGAGTAACGACAACAAATAAAGGCTGTACTTGTTCAGTACAGATGCAGTTGTTTTGAGCCTGCAGTTGATTGCTTGAATCTGTGGGGGTAGACTCTCAGGTAGAGAGGACCACCTGCATGTGTTTCTTATATAATTCATCTTTCAGTTGTTCACACATATCATCTATCGGTGATATGTATGATGTAGTTCACAGCAAGCTTCTAATGAAAGCCTGTTGACATACCAGGCAAAAAGTAAATGTAGAATTAGTTTGCCTTTTAGCAAACAGAACAGACCTAGATAAAAGACAAAATCATGGTTTTGGGGGCATGGTTCAAGTGGTAGAGCAACTGCCTAGCAAGTGCAAGGCCCTGAGTTCAAACCCCAATTCTGCCAAAAAAAAAAAAGTGTTAAAGACAAAAATCATCTTTCCTTCAAATCAAAAATGTTCTTTTAAAAAATAGATTAAATGAAAGTGTCATCAGTGAAAATTTTGAAGAAAACAAAGGACACATCATGCTCCCTTCCATCCTGACCCTCTACTCCCCCTCCTTGAGGTTTTTCTGTTCTGTCTGCAGACACATTCTAGAAAGACAAAAGACAAAGGGAGTTAAAACCAGCCCTCGAGTGGCATTTGTGTGTGGACCACTGTTGTACGTAATGAAATCATGTTCTCTATCCTGCTCTGTACTTTGCATTTTATCGTTCATCTTAGAGATCTGTCAATATCAGCTTATGGATTTGACATGACCAAGCTTGGTTTAGGGAGACAGTGAAAGAGACTAGTAGGAGTGCAAGTGGGTGTGAGGGAACCAGAAATCAAGTAATACCTTGCAACAGTGACCACCCAGGATGGTGGTTACCTAGGGGTGAACAGGCAGTGTCTACACAGTGTGAGAATCACTGCTACCTAGGAGCTTAGCCTCAAGGTAGGTGCTCATCTTACTGCGTTTTCAGAAAAGGGAACCAGACCATCAAGAGGTTAAACACACCTGGCACTGGTGGCTCATGCCTGTAATCCCAGCTCCTCAGGAGGCAGAGATCAGGAGGATTGAGGTTAGAAACCAGCCTGGGCAAAATAGTTCACAAAACCTCATCTTGAAAAAAAACCCAGTGCAAAAAAAGGCTGGTGAAGTGGCTCCAGGTATTAGGCCTTGGATTCAAGCCCCAGCACCACACACACACACACAAAAGGTTAAACACCTCCTCTGTCCTTACTCAGTTAGCAAGTGTTTGCTTCTGACCAGCAAGCTCACCACCCTTTTATATTGAGGCCCATGGAAGGATGAGTGTCAACTCATTCCATTGGGGGAAATTGGATTTGGTAATTCCTCCACAACCCTCTGACTTCTCAGAGTTGACAGAAACCAAGGGAATTGTGGTGATGGTGTTGGTAGATAAGAATGTACGTTAACATCCTTAGGGTTTTTTTAAGGGTTTCTTTTCAGTTTGAAGTTAACTGTTTCCCTCAGACTTCTGCATTTTCTCCTCAAGTTATCTGGTAGATTTCTGTGGTTGCTTTCTGCCTGTCTGAATACAGGGCAAGTTCAGGGTCCGTTGCTTACTGTGTGCTGACCACCCTGTCTCCCTGCAGATCCGAGTGATGGTGGACCTGTGCAACAGCACCAAGGGCATCTGCCTGACAGGTAGGCTGGCCGCTGACCGAGTGCTGCTCACTCAGCCAATGCCAGTGCTGGCCCAGGGGCCAGCGGCAGAGTGAACACCTCGGAACACTCACTGTTATAAAAAATACGCATTGCTTTATTTTAACCAGATAGTTTTTAATGAAACGGAAACCAATTGTAATATAATTGTGAAAAGTAATATTTTCTGGTATTGCCATAGAAATAGAACCATAGAAAATCCCTAGGACTTGGGTAATTAGAAACATGTGGCACCTTGAACCAGGACCAGAGGTTTTTTTATTCCCATTAGGTTTAAGAGGAGAAATAAAGAAGGGAAAAGAGTTTGCTAAGTGGTTATGAGAGACAGAGTTCTTTTTTTTTTTCTTTCTTTTTTTGTGATACTGGGGCTTGAACTCAGACCCAACACCTTGAGCCACTCTGCCAGCCCCCCACCACCTTTTTTTTTGTGTGTGTGTAGGGTATTTTTGAGATAAAGTCTCTTGAACTATTTGCAGGGGCTGGGTTCAAACCCAGATCCTCCTGATCTCTGCCTCCTGAGTAGCTAGGATTACAGTCATGAGCCACTGGTACCCAGCTAAGTTCTTTTCACAAAAAATTTTCTTGGACTAGAGGTGTGGCTCCTGGGCAGGAAGAGTGCCTGCCTAGCAAGTGGGAGCCATGAGTTCAAACCCCAGTACCACACACACAGAAACAAAAAAGTATATTGCTTTCCTAATAAACTTTACTATTAAAAAAAAAAAAAGAATTTTCTGGGTGGCACATTCCATGTGCTAAGTGGACCTGGAGCCTGACCATACCCTGACCCCTTCACTCAATGACTCAAGGACACATAGAGAGGAGGAAAGAAACTAGCCAGGAGGAACACAAAGCCTTGAGACAGGAATGGCTGATGGGAGGGTAAGATTTGCCATATGTGAGTCTAACAGAAGCCTGTGTCTCACCTGAGGGAGGGGCCCTGCAAAGGTGTGGGCCTTCAAAAGGTGAGGGCAAGGGAAAGCACAGACCCCAGAGTCACTCAACACTGCCCCCTCAAGCCAAGGGAGGCTCTGGCCAGGCCAAGGACAGGCCTACAGCGCCTAACTCCAGATACTGCATTCCTTGCCCCTTAGGGGAGTATGCGTGTGGGGGAGGGGGCAGCACTCTGAGGAAATAGGGAAATTGTATTTACATTGGAATAGTAGACTGTGAGGGAGAAGTACAGCTTCCTTGGGCTTTAAAACCTGATCAGAAGATCATGAATCAGCTGAAGCTTTTGTTGGGTTTCTGGCCCCAGACTCAGGGGAGGTCACATTAACACTTCACAGGACAGACCCAGCACATCCATGCCTGGCTGTAAGGAACCTGGCCATCTTCTATGACATCACCCCCAGTTCTTCTCATTACTGTGTTGTGCAATAAGAGTTTGTCAAAAGAATAGACCTATGAACCAGGCACTGGTGGCTCACACTGTAATCCTAGCTACTTTGGAAGCCAAGATCAGGAGGATCAAGGTTCATGGCCACCAAGGCAAATAACGTGAAACCCAATCTCAAAAAAAACAAAACAAACAAAAAAAAGCAGAGCAAAATGGACTAGAGGTGTGGCTCAAGCAGTAGAGCGCCTGCTTTGCAACCATGAAGCCCTGAGTTCAAATCCCAGTCCCACAAAAAGAATAAACCTGCAGTCTCTGAGTGACTGAAGTGGTGAGCATCCCAAAGGAATCCCAAATCCAAGGCTAACCCTCCTTTGCTTATTTTGGCCCCAGAAAGGAAAAACTGCAATCCTGTGGTTTCTTGAGAAATGCTAATTAAGTTACCCAAATCACATTTCAGCCCTCACAGAAAATTAAGTATCTTCAGAACAGCCTGGTCTTTTGTTCTGAAACTCTCATAAGTTAAGCACCTTCCTTCCATCGCTGGAAGTCCCCTTTTAGAGCTCCCACGTATGACAGTAATGAGTGCTAGAGAAACACTCAGATGGATGGAATGACAAGCATAAAAGCCTTGACAAGAGGCACAGGAAAAGCCTCTTCCTTTCTGATTTGTATAGTGACAGTGTGAAAGCCAGGCTACACAAAGGATGCCCAGGACAGAGCTATAGAGAGCACTTAGAGAGAGTGACAGATGGCGGCCCTGCTAGAAATGGGTTGAATAGGTGATTCTTTGACACCTCAAATATTCTCAAAAGCCAGCACTTTCTCCTTTCATAACAGCTTGAAAGCAGGCCTCCCTTTACACAGAAAGCTCTCCAATTACAAACCCAGGTGAGAAAAGTACAAGTTGCAAAGAGAAGCAAGATTTGCTTTGGAAAATGCCTGAAGCACCATGTTTCTGAACTCCCTGAGATCACACCTCCCAGACCATCTTGGAACAGGGAAAAAAGGGTGAGTGACAGTACCAGGACTGAATGGGCAACCCTGGGTATACAGACCAGAGAGGATGCTAAGCAGAAGGTTCTCTAGGGCAGAGACTGGGTTTGAGCCCCAGAACAAGATTAAACTTTACAAGAGTCATCTTTTAAAAAGCACATGGGAAGCTGGGTGCTAGTGCCTCACACCTATAATCCTAGCTACTTGGGAGGCTAACAATGCATTTCCAGGTCAGTCCAGGCAAAAAAAGTTTGTGAGACCTCTACCTCAGTTTTCTTTAAGGCTGGGCATGGTGATGCACACCTGTCATCCCACTTATAGCCAGACGCCAAAAAGGAAGATTACCATCCAGGCCAGCCTGGGCCAAAAGCAATACCCAGTCTCCAAAATAACCAAAGTAAAAGGGGTTGGAACAGTAGAGCACCTGCCTCGCACACACAAAGCCCTGAGTTCAAACCCCAGTACCAAAAGAATACTGGGAACTGGGAGTATAGCTCAGGGATAGGCCCCAGGCCCTGGATTCAATCCCCAGCACCACACAAAAATAAATAAATACAAATGAATAATTTGCTGAGGGTGTGACTCAAGTGGTAGAGTACCTGGTTAGCAAACCCAAGTCCCTGAGTTCAAAGTCCAATACCACAAAAATAAGTAAATAAGCAGGTGCTTGCTAACTGGGGGTTAGTTGAGCTGTGACCATGAAACCCTGTTTCTGTTTCCTCTTCTTACCTTGGTCGTAGTTTCTGTGATCAGGACAGATTCCATGTAGTTTGGGGTAGCCTGTGACATCCAGGATCAGTAGTGAGGGTAATGCCTAGCTGCAGTGGTTAGGTGTTTTTCTGGTGCAGAATTTGTCAGACGACATATGACAGTTGCTTTTCTGGATACATTGCACTCCCAGGCCCAGATTTCCTTTGACCCCAGAAGCACATCTTCTAGAAGAACAGATGGCTCAAAGAAATTGGGTGATTCTTCACTTACAGTGGCTTCTGCACATGGACTTGGACAATGCCTAAGCCATCGTGTTGCCAAACTGCTTTTAGGGGCAGAGCACGTCAAATCCACAGCATCAGTCCCCTTGCAGCTTAGTGATCTAACCCAGTGATGGTACTTGTCACTAACTACTCCCTTATCCTCTACCCAGGCAAGCATCAGTCATGGATGTCAGGTTCTGCTGAAAATGGCCTCCTGTCATTCTCTCCTGGTGTTCTAGAAAGCCACTATGAATTGATTAGAATTGGCACTTCAAACCTATCTGCCATCCCTGGACTAATTCTTTTTTGGAGTGTGGGGGCTTGAGGCAAGGTCTTGCTGTATAGTCTAGACTGACTCCTCTCTCAGTATCCCCAGTGCAGGGATTGCAGTCATGAGCCACCATGCTCTAATGTTTTAAGGTTACTACGGCCACAACCCAAAGTTGAAATGCACCCAATAAATGATGTTGAACTGAAGCTGTGGTTGGGGACACGTGAGAAGAAATACTTTCCCAAGTCAGGTGTTCTAGAACTGGCTCAATAGGTGGTGGCAGGGGGCAGCTCAGAGGGTGTTCCAGGCACATGAAGTGAGGACAGAGGCCTCAACAAAAGCATATTTCTCACTCCATGAAGTCCAGTGATGTGTGCAGAACTCTCCTGGGAAATTCGTTTTTCTCTGGTGATTTAGGGAACCAGGCTGCTGCCCTCTTGTGGCTCCATCGTCTCAGCACAGGCACCAAGGTAGCCCCCCACTCTCCCAAGAAGAGAAGACAGAAGGATGGCATTCAGTGCTCTTGAAGACCAAGTATAGAAGTGTCTCACTTCCTCTGAGGGGTTCCACAGCCCTCAGAGGGCTGCCAAGGCCTGTTAGGGGGTCCACCAGCCAGGGACCCCCGTAAGGATTGGCCAATAGTGGCCAATTATTTTGCCAGAAAATTTTCATACTGTATCAGGGGATCCTTGATCATCCGCATCCCCATCACTTGTGGTGTTTAGTAAAAATGCAGGTTCCTGGGCCTCACTCTAAATCCAGAATGAACTAGAATCTCCAGACAGGACCCAGCTATCTGCATTCTTTTTTTATGTTTTCAAAGGCTTTTATTATTTTTTAAACATTGTTATTAGCATATATTAGTTACACAGGGGGTTTCATTGTGATATTTCCATTTGTACTTACAATGAACCTTGGTTAGGTGCACCCCACCATCATTCTCCCAGGTATCTGCATTCTAGCAAGCACAGCAAGCAGTTCTGTGGTTTCATGCTGCCAGGGTTTCAGGGAGTTTTTGAGGACCTCTAGTCTAAACACTTCATACGGGGAAACTGAGGCAGGAGGATAATGAGTTCAAAGCCAATCAGGTCTGCATTGAAATGAAGTGATGATGGTATTGAGACTTGGCCAGGACTAATTTGCCCTACCTGTACAGCTTCAAGGGAGTTCTCACCAAGTCCCGCCCCCATGGACATTGTTGGGGGCTCTGCTGGGAGCTCTTGAATGCTACTACATAGAGGCAACTTGGTTTTTGCAGTCAAATATCCTTCTTCTATCTGTGCCTCTGGATATGGCTCCATTGGAGGTGGGGAATGCTGTGCTGACACCTATCCTGTGCCTGGGCTGCACAGAAGCCACCTGCATTGTCCCTGACTCTCAGCCAATTAGGGTGTCTGCTTCAGAGATAACTAGTGTATGACTCCATATTGAAACCAGCTCAGAAGTTATTCTTGGTCTGTTGAAACTTAAGTAGAAGAGGTTTGATTGGCAATCGGTCTCTGTTGAATTGGACGAATATAATGAGCTCTAAATTAAAGGTGTGGAATTGGTTTCTGGGTGTCAGTAAGTGACTAAGACATTTTAAGGAGAGGGGAGGGGGTCTGTGGTGCTGGTTTTCTTTCTTGTACTTGTTGTTAACTCTCTGATTTTCTTTTTCTGTTGTAGGACCACCTGGCCCACCAGGTAAGAGCCCATGGGCTTTCCTAGTTCAAGGGGAGGATATGGGTGGCTGGATCCCCGGGATCCTTCCAAGGATCTCCTGGGACACAGGTCGGGGAAGGATGTGGAGGCATCCTGGCTAGATCTCCATCCTTCTCTGTGCCCTTCTCAATCAAGAACCAGCTGTCACCACTTCCACCACTTGTCACTGCTTCAGGAAAAGGATGGGAAGGAGTAGGAGAGGATGTGGGAAGGCTCCGATTCTGGCCCAGTTTCACGGGCTAAAGAAAATATCAACTTCAGGAAAATTGTGGGGATGTGGTCTGGGATCTGAACTTGGCTTCATGCTTGCTGCACACGTACTCCCACCCTGTACACCCTCCCTCCTTATGACTTTATAGTTATTTTTTCAGAAAGTGTCTCAAGTTTTGCCCCTGGTCTAGCCTCGGACCTTGATCCTCCTACCTACATCTTCTGCATAGCTGAGATTACAGACCTGGCTTGCTTTGTTGAGACAGAGTCTCTCTTCTTTTTGCCCAGGCTGACCTTGAGTCACAATCTTTCCAATCTTCACCTTCAGAGTAGCTGGGATTACAGGTGTGCATACCATGTCCGGCTAAGATTTTCTTTTAACTGTTCCTGTTTTCATGTTTTGACACAGGGCCTCCAGGAGCAGGTGGGTTACCAGGACACAATGGATCAGATGGGCAGCCTGGTCCCCAAGGCCCAAAAGGCGAAAAAGGAGCAAATGGGAAGAGAGGAAAAATGGGTATTCTGGCAATTCTTCTGATTAATTTCCTTATTTCTTGTCTCTGTGATGGCGTTTGCAATGGGCTAATGCTGTGTGCAGAGAAGGTAGGGTGTCTGTCTTCTGCACAGAGGCTGGTTTACCTCCCACCTGGAGATTAGATGCCTAGGGCACTAATCTTGTTGGACCCTGACAGATGTTTATGTCAGACAGAGGAGGCTGTCCCCTGAGAATGATTCGACCTTTCTCCTTTCTCTGATGCAGATGGAAATGTTTGGGGAGCAGGGGCCAACAATCTTGGGAGGGACTCTCTATGAGCTGTGTGACAGCCATAGGTGCTGACACCTCCGTGTTCTTTCAAGGCTCAGCTCCTGCTTTGCCCTCTATTCCTTTTGTGTTTGGGTGATAATCAGTGGACTGCTATTGTCCCCTGTGAAGGACTGCCCTGGCTAGAGGAGCAGCTCTAACTATCTGAACAGAAAGGCAGCACCCAAGCCTCCCAAGGCTGACACTCAGCTCTTGTAGGGTTCCCTCTGAGGAAGGTCTACAGAGATATGGTTGCCACCTCAAAGGAACTTCCTTTGCCCTCCCATGAGTAGGGGCATTGGCATGGTTTAAGCAAAGGCCAGAAGGACCCAGGTGTCAGGTGCATTTAGGGAGCAGTGGGGCTGGTGTAGAGGCTGGGGCCAGTGTGCAATGGATTCTGAAGAGCTGTGAGCATCAGTTTAGGGGGTCTGTGGAGAAGCACTAGGCAGAACCACCTGAAGAAAGCTGGCACATTGCATGGTAGAGACTGCTTAGGAAGCTTCTAGAAGGCCCTGTTTTAACACCAGTCAAGGCCACTGCAGAGAGGCAGGGAGAAGTTGATTTTTAGCTAGAGATGCCACCCCACCCTCTTATGTTCAGCCTCTTGGCTCTGTACCCAAAGTCACTTGGATAGGCACTGGGCTAGAAGAAATTCTAGAAAATTCAGCACAGTTACCACTTTGAGCACCTCTGCTGCTATTCCCTTAAGCAATTTAAGCGAGAGCAGCAGGGAAGGAGGAATTGCTGTGCATCTATGCCCCTTGGCAAGCCACCTGCCCCTGTTCCCGGGGGCAGCCCTGTGGATGAAAATCACATGCACAGTCCAAGTTGGCTCAGCCGAGGGAGGCCAACAATTACAACCGGAATTACAGAGCCAGGGTGGGCCATTCATGTGGGATAATGATAATTACACATGAACGTTGGCAGAGAATAATGATGACCATCACGTGCAGATACGAGTTTATTCTGGGAAGACTCCAAACCCACGATCCCGGTCCCGTGTGTTCAGTGATGAGAACAATGAAGGCAGACTTACGGCAGGAGACACCATGCTAGAGCTGGGCAAGGAAGGAGTTAAAAAGGGTTTGGTTCTCAAAAAGATTTAACACAGATTCTTGGCCTTGAGGGAGATGTGCTCAGGGTGCAACCCACAAACCAGGGCAAAAAAGAAAAAGTTCATTCATTTATGGAGTATAAGTTTAATATGAAAGATATTTTTCCAGACACTGGAGATCCAAAATTGACAAAACTGACAACACCCTGCCTTTGTAGGGACAAAGGGAAATACCCCTCCACCCTCTGAAGGATCACCTGACAAAGACGCTAAACAGGAGACAAGGTATATACCATTCACTAGGGCAGGAGGCAGTCTCAAGGTGTAGTTACCCCCTATGAGCAACTTGCAGAAGCTTCTATGTCCCTTTTCCTATGACAGAGGGGAGAAGGGGGAATGATGACAGTTTCAGAAGGTTGCCATTGATTATTAGGGGGAATGAAATAAGCTTGTAGAAAGATTCTCTTTGGAGTTCAAATGAGCCCAAGCGACGACCATTATCTTGGCAGAGAAGTGAATCCAGGCACTGGTGCAGTCCTCAGGCTTCTTTTCTGAGATAGGTAATTCCGTGTGGGTTGGGATGGAAGGCACTGGTGTCCAGATATCGTCCTGTAGTCTGGACTTCCTGCAGAGAGCAGGAATTCCAGAGAGAGGCTCTCCCTGCGCGTGTGGAAGCAAAGCAAGCTCAGAGGACCCTGATTCTGAATCTTTAATTTACTTCAGATTAGTCTGCTCAGCATGCCAAAAAATATCATACTGGGGGTGCAGTCTCTGAGCCCCAACTTTATGAGGCTGGTGTTCTAGCTGGGAGAGCAGACAATGAGCAAGATAATTAGTAGAATATAGGGCCTGTCACACAACGGTTCAGTAATAGCTAAAAAAGAAACAACAAGGCAGAGAAAGGGACAGAAGGTTTAAGTTGGGGCTGGGAGCGCTCATTTTGGATTGGGAGGCCAGAGATGTCCTCCCTGAGAAAAGACCTTTGAGCAAATTCTTGGAGGAGGTGAGAGAGGGAGTTATGGGGGTATCTTAGTGTCTACTTTAAGGAAATAAGAAAATAGTTTATGAGCTTGGATGTAGCTTAGTGGTAGAGCCCCCACCTACCATGTGCAAGACCCTGGGTTCAAACCCCAGCATCAAAAAAGAAAAGAAAAGAAAAGAGTTTATTTTGTGCCAAATATGAGTAACCAACATAAATTGGTCAAGTTACAAGGAACATAGATTCAAGTTACCTTGAATGACTTGTTCCACAATGGAAAAGATTACATGACCTCTTATAGTTACAGAAAAGAGCGCCATGAATCAATGCATTTATCAAATACATAAGTGGGATCATCAGGTAGGTGGGCTACAGCAAGATGGGGGAATGTATAAGATACTGGTTTTTGCGAGACTTGAGTTTGAACTCAGGGCCTCATCCTTACTAGGAAGGCTCTCACTCTACCACCTAAGCCATGTCACAGCCCTGTTTTTGCTTTTAGCTATTTTTCAGGTAGAGTCTTATGTTTTTGTTCAGGGCCAACCTTAGACCATTATCTTCCTGATCTTTGCCTCCAAATTAGCTGGACTTATAAGGCATGCCCCACCATGCCCTGCCCTCTGCTATAGGATTTAGATGTTGTCTTTAATCACATTCTTACAGGTGGTGGAGGATAGAGGTATGTCAAGCTCAGATTCCAAGAAATTTTTTGGGGGATGAGGAAGGGCAGTACTGGGGTTTGGACTTGGGGCCTTGTGCTTATTAGGCAGGCACTTTCCAAGAGTTTTATCTAAAAGGCAAGAAGATATTTGGTCAGATACAGAAGTTGATAGCAAATAGCTATGGTCAGGGGCTAAATAGCCCAAATAATTTGGGCTCTTTACCTACAACTTTCTATCTGTACACATCACTGCGTTCTACTCAGCCAAGGTCACACAGTCTGTAGGATCTTGACTGTAGATAGAGCTTCTTCAGAGAACTTCAGTTCCCACTGGGGAGAGGGTTTTGCATCAGTCCAGTGTGCCTGGCCAGCTTGAGGGACAGCAAGGAGAACAGGGTACTGGATGGTGAAATGTGAGGCTAGCATAGTCTAGAAGAAATCAATGCAGCAAAAAGACAAAATCAGGTGGGCTCTGGGCATTTTGAAGAAGTGCTCAGAGCAAGGAAGGGAGGATCTGAAGAAAAGAAAGCCACTCCTGACATTCTGTGAGAGGACAGTCCTGTCAGCCTAGAAGGGAAGCAGGGAGGATCAGGACAGGGACAACCAGAAGAGTGAGGTTTGTAGACCTTGACCCATCAGAGCTATGGCAAAGACCAGACCCTCCTCCTCAGTGACCTCCTAGGGAGAAGAGGTTGTGCCAGGGGTCAACCACACTAGGTCCAGAAATCTCCACTAAGGTTTAAGATAGAAGTAAGAGCACCTAAGGCCCAATCAGGAAGTCTATGTCCCAGCCAGGGGATGTGGGAGACCAGTTGTGCAGAGGCAAAGGATTTCTGAAGAGCCTGGCCATGGAAAGAGGTTGTTCGAAGTATTGCTCAGCCTTGAGCCAGCTCACATTCCAGAGCAAGAGCCACACTGTCTTGGTCACCCTGCAGCAGACTCTAAGGCTGTGCCTTCCCCCCTCCACCATTCCTGAGCCCTAGGAGGGACTGTGGGTAAAGGAAGGCTAAAGAGAGGAGGAGATCAATAAGGAGCCCCTGAGGGGTTCCCGTGGTGCCTGCTGCCTGCCGATCATACTTTGACACAACACAGGAGTGAACAAGAGGCAAGGATAGCAGGTGGGGTGTGCCAAGTCCGATAAAGGGAGTGATATTTAGAGGTGAAGTCAGTGGGCCTGGTGGTGGGTTGAAGTAAGGAGCGAGGGGCAAGGGAAGCATCAAGACTGATGCCAAGGTTTCTGTCCTGTCTGGCTGGATGGGCAGTAGGCTTCCCTGCTCCTGACTTGAACTTAGGGATATGCTGAGCTGAGATGCCTTGAGGTACCCATCCAGAAGGAGATGTCTGGGGCCCTGGGATATAGGCAGGCCTGCCGTCAGAGAGACCTGGGGGCTCCAGGCCTTGTGGCCAACTGGGCATTGAGCCTGAGTGCAGTCATTTAGAATGGGAGCATGGTAGGAGGGGACTTTGGTGGAGCCCCAAAAATCTGTAGCATCTCCTGACAGCTAGAAAGGGACCAGCTGGCAAAGGAGACCAAGGAGGGCACTATGCATGGGCAGGAGGCCTCGAGAGGGAGGGCATATTCATCAGCAGGTATTTATTGAGCCCGTTTCAAATGCTTAGTGGGGAAACAAACAGAGGCACTCCTGTTCTGGAACCTTCCATCTTTGGAAGAGAGGCTGACATTAATAGTCTACAGTCATATATAGCACAGTCACAAGGGGAGACTCATATTGCAAGGAAACAGGGCCCTGTGTCAAACAATAATAGAGCCCAGGAGGTCACACCTTAAGTCAGATATGAAGGATGAGAGGGAAGCAGAGAGGGGCCCATAGGGAGGGCACCATGCAACCAAAGACCCTGCCACTGTGACTAGCGGGGTGGGCAGAACAGGGCATGAAGCTAGAAGAGGGGCCAGGCCTCTCCAAAACCTTCAAGTAAGCAGTAGAGGTCTTCCTGTCACCTCCCAGAAGAGCACTGCACAGTCTTAAGCAGAGATGTGACCCCAGAGAAGGAAGGGCCTC